GGCTTGTGTTTATCTTGCGCTCAGAGACTGATTGATTAATTTTATTGTCACATGTACCAAAATACAGTGAAAAGCTTTGTTTATGAGTGGTACAGGCAGAACCACAGCAAGCAAAAATGTACAGATCGAAAAGACTTAGAGGCATACAGTTACGTTATTTGAGGCTAGAGTCCATACAACAGTCTGATAATGGTTGGAAAGAAGCTGCTGCTATACCTGCTCGTGCATGTATTCGGGCTTCTGTATCTTCTGCCTGACGGAAGAGATTGTAGGAGATCATTACCCGGGTGCGATGAGTCTTTGATGATGATGGCTGCCTTTCTATGGCAGCGAGCCGTGTAAGTAGAGTCTGTGGATGGAAGGTTGGCTTCTGTGATGGTCTGGGTTGTGCACTCCACCTTCTGTAGTTTTTTTTCAGATCCTGGGCAGAGCAGTTGCAATACCAGGCCATTATATACCCGGACAGTATGCTTTCAGGTTCTTGTGAAGATTTGTAGCTTGGGTTGTGAATGAAGTTGTTGGCTTGCTTGCCGAGCTGGCTGGTTATCATACAGACATTTCTTCACCATGCTAGGTAACATCATCGGTACGGTCTCCGACGAAGCACTGTTGTTCTATTCTGCTTGGTATTTATATGATCCGGTCTATTAAGTTGGGTTGTGTCATTTCTGGTTCTGTTCTGCATGGGTTTCGTAGAATAGAATCATAGAACTCCTACAGTGTGGAAATAGGCCCTTCGGCCCAACAAGTCCACGCTGACCCTCGGAACATCCCACCCAGACCCATTCCCCTATAAGCCTCCTAATCTACACATCCCTGAACCACTACGGGTAACTTAGCATGGCCAATCCACCTAGCCTGCACATCTTTGGACTGTGGGAGGAAAACAGAGCACCCGGAGGAAACCCACGCAGACACTGGGAGAATGTACAAACTCCACACAGCCAGTTGCCTGAGGGTGGAATCGAACCTGGGTCCCTGGCGCTGTGAGGCAGCAGTGCTATCCACTGAGCCGCCGTGCCGCCCATTCTGTTTGTATATGGGGTCTAATTTTACACGTTGATTGCACTCCGGGTTGAAAACCAGGCCTCTGGGAATTCCCGTGCACATCTATGGTTGGCTTGAGCTAGGATGGTCACGTTGTCTCAGTTAAATTGGTGGCCTTCATTGTCCGAGCGCACAGAGTTAAGGGAAAGTTCGCCATATCGTATGTCGTTTGCTGTTAGCTGGTGTTTACACGACGAACTTTCCCTCATCTCAGTGCACTCGGAGAATCTCCCTTCTGTATTTTGACTCGTCATTGCCAGATATCCGTCCTGCTATGGTGGTGTCATCAGCGAACGTGTAGATAGCACTCGTTTGGAATTTGGCAACACAGTTGTAGGTGTACAGGGAGTACAGTAGGGGGCTGAGGATGCATCCCGGGGGGCTCCAGTGTTGAATGTTATTGTGGAGGAGGTGCAGTTACCTATCCTCACTGATTGCAGCCTATAGGTCAGAAAGCTGAGGATCCAGTTGCAGAGGGTGGAGCCGAGACCAAGGTCACGCAGTTTTGAGATCAGTCTGGAGGGGATAATGGTGTTGAAGGTGGAGCTGTAGTCAACAAACAGGAGTCTGACGTAGGTGTCTTTGTTGTCCAGATGTTCCAGGGATGAGTGCAGGGCTAGGGGTAAAGCATCCTCTGTGGATCTGTTATGTCGGTAGGCAAACTGTAGGGGATCAAGGCACGTTGGGAGACGAGTTGATTTGGGCCATGACCAGCCTCTTGAAGCACTTCATGATTATTGAAGTTGGAGCTATTGAGTGGTAGTCATTAAGGCACACTGCATGTGTTTTCTTGGGTATGGGGATGATGGTGGTCTTGAAGGATGGGGACTTCAGCTTGTAGGAGGGAGATGTTAAAGATGTCAGTGAATATTTCTGCCAGTTGGTCCGCACAGGATCTGAGTGCTTGACAGGGGACACTCTCCGAGCCCATCGCTTTCCTTGGGTTGACTCCCAGGAAGACGGATCTGACTTCTGAAGTGGTGACAGACGGAACTGGTCTGTCTGGGGTTGTCGGGGCAGGTGTTACCACGCTGGTGGTATTCTGCTCAAACCGAGCATAGAAAGCATTGAGTGCGTCAGGGAGGGATGTGTCGTTGTCCACTATCTTACACTGTTTCATTTTGTATCCTGTAATGTCGTTTGGACCTTGCCATAGATGGCGGGAGTCTGTTTGTAAGGCTGGGCCTCTAACTTGGTCCGGTACTGCCTCTTGGCCTTCCTGATGGCTTTGTCGAGGTCATATCTGAACCCGCACAAAAAAATCACCTTGTCTGCCAGGCTGCTTTTTGCTTTAATGTGCTGGCAGTGTTATATCTGATATCAGCTGTCCATTACAATGTTTCAACTTCAGCCTTCTACTCATTCTGAAGCTAGGTGGAAGCAGAGCAAGTCATGGCAATTTTGGAAGTACCATAATGAAGTGAACGAATATAGGAGGTATGGTTAGTAAGTTGGCAGATGACCCCAAAATTGGTCATGTACTGGACAGCGAGGAAGGTTACCCCAGAGTACTTGAGGACCTTGATCAGTTGGGCCAATGGGCTGAGGAATGGCAGATAGAGTTTAATTTAAATAAATGTGCATTTCGATCGGGCAAATCAGGGCAGGACTTATAAGCTTAATGGTCGGGTCCTGGGAGTGCTGACGAGCAAAGAGACCTTTTGATGCAGGTTCATAGTTCCTTGAAAGAGGAGTTGCAGATAGACAGCCTAGTGAAGTAGGTGTTTTGTACACTTGCCTTTATTGGTCAGTGCATTGAGTATAAGAGTTGAGAGGTCATGTTGCAATTGTACAGGACACTGGTTAGGCCATTTTTGGAATACTGCATGCAATTCTGGTCTCCCTGCTATGGGAAAGATATTGAGAAACTTGAAAAGGCTCAGAAAAGATTTACAAGGATGTTGCCAGGGTTGGGGGGTTGGAGGGTTTGAGCTATAGGGAGGGGATGAATAGGCTGAGGTTATTTTCCCTGGAGCATTGGAGGACGAGGGATGACCTTATAGAAGTTTATAAAATCATGAGGGGCATGGATAGGTTGAATAGTCAAGGTCTTTTCCCCAGGGTAGGGGAGTCCAAAACTAGAGGGCATAGGTTTAAGGTGGTAGAGAAAAGATATAAAAGGGACATGAGGGGCAGTTTTTTTCATGCAGAACATGGTGTGTTTATGGAATGAGCTGCCAGAGGAAATGGTGGAGGCTGGTTCCATTACAACATTTACAGCATGAGTAGAAAGTTTTTAGAGAGATAAGGGTCAAATGCTGGCAAATGGGGCTAGACTAATGTAGAATATCTGGTCAGCATGGACGAGTTGGACCAAAGGGTCTGTTTCCATGCTGTACAGCTCAATAACTGTCCCCACTCTCTCAGAACGAGGCATGAGAGGCCTTCCACAATTGAAGGTGCGGCTGATGATGGGTAATGGTGGCTCATTCTCAGCTGTAATTTCAGGGGACAATTTGTATAAATGTTTCAAGCACAAGACAGTGTAAGTGCAGTTGGTGCATGCTCAAAATATAGATCATCCAGTAAGTACAAGTCTGAGAGACCAGGAATCTCTGACCCCGATTTGAGGTTTGTCACAACCACTCTACGAAAGCTGAGAGAGCGAGGGCGTTTTAGAGTGGGCTGTTGTTTCTAGGTTGGAGCCCAGCAGCAGTCATTGCAACGTCTTGTGGTCCTGATCCTTATTTTGGGAAGACTGGCAAGAGGAAGAGAGGGGAAAAGTGTTTTTTGGGGGGTGTTGCAATGTGTTTGTTATTTGTTATTTGTTATTTTGGCAGTAAACATTTTGCTTGCTCTCATTGTCCAATATTTCTCTTGCCTGCGTCCATTATTTATATAAAATTGCAAAGAGCAATTAAAATATTTCACTTATCACCGTTTTTATTTTCAGGCTCTTGTTTTTGTTTCTCTTGTTGCCCCAAGTTCTCCCTCTTCTTTCTCTCGTTGCTGTTCTTCTTGGTTATGATGCGAACTGTAATGTGCACATGGAGATTTCAACATTTGTGGAGTACTAGAGCACCACATCACAACGCATTGCACTGTCTAGCACTAATGAAATATTAGATTTAAAAGTAGACAATTGCCTGTGATCAGGGTCATAAAAGTTTTCAGTACAGTTGGTTCTGCTATAATTCATGTTCTGGCAACACGAACTGGCTGTAACGCGATTGAGGAATAGGGGAATGCTATTTCTAAAACATGAACTTGTGTTGGCTATAGCGCGATCCCATCAGTGTGCGGAGGAGGACGTGTCGATATCACATGATCGTTTCACGGGCTTTGTCGTGAAGTGCTTTCTGTGAGACGTGCAGTACAACCTTCTCCCCCATAAAGACATCTTGACAATTATTCCCAAGGTAAATTGTTAAATTTACTTTTATTTCATTATTAGATATGAATCAAACATTGGTTTTTTTTTGGTGGTCTACCCCAAACCCCACACTTCCCGTAGGCCCGGTTATTTCTATAGGCATGATTTTCTATAACATGATGTTGCACAGCAACGCAACTATCGTGTTATAGCAGAATTGACTGAATGTCATTGTGGTTTTGGGAAAATAACTATTTGTTATGCCACAATCGCGCAAGTTATGTTAATCATACTTGTGTTCATACTTGTGTTATCTGACTTGAGTGCTGATTTGTTGTAAACCAGTATTGTTGGTTGAGATCTAGAAATGTCAGCTTTGTGATACTGTTGTTAATATTAGTATTTAGGATTTCTAAACACTTTACAAACTGAGGTGCTTACACTTCAAATCCATTTATGCATCTGTTAATTTAAATGCATCAAATTTCTTTTTCAAGCTCACTTAGTTTGCTGAAAGTATTAAATGTTTCCTATATCAAAACACTTGATAGTACATCAAAAAGTGCTTCATTGGTTGTGAAGAGCCTTTCCATGTCTGGTGATTGCTAAAAGTACTACATAAATGCAAGTAATTCTTTTGTATAATTTTTAACAGTTGTGCAGTTGAGTGTCAGAAATTCTGTTAAAAAATATGTAGTTGTTAGGGAAGTTTTTTTTTAATTGAAACTTGCAATTTCTTTTATTATAGATCTGGACATTTGAGTATTGCCGGAAAATTAGTGCACAGTGGTAAAACAAAGCAGTAGCTAATGTTATTGTATGTTGATATACTTGTGCAATCATAGCCCTTGCTCGTTTTATTGCAGCATCAAACAATAAATCTGGATATTACATTGTGCAAGCTGTGAAATTGGTTTGGTTCATGTCTGTTTTGCTCATGTAGATTCAGCACAAATTGTATTTTTAACAATAGGGCTACCTGTGAGCTCTGTGTGTGTGTGTGTGTGTGTGTGTGTGTGTGTGTGTGTGTGTGTGTGTGTTTCAGGTGGCCTGAAACTAAGTCTGTGGATTTACATTAGTGAAACTAATAAATCAATTTCCATTGATTTTTCAGACCCCTAAGTTTAAAACAATGCTGTTCACAAACCAAAATCTACTCCATTATGTTCAATTTATGTTTGGAGCCTCAGCAATGCTTGCGTATGAGTTCAGGTTTGAACAGTTGGTTACATTTTTTGTGCACGTGATGTTGAATTGTAAACTTTGTATGTTTCAGATATTCAGCAGCAGTTAAACCTTGAACTGCAGAGATAAGTGCTGTTACTCTTCTCCATCTCCCTGTAACCAATGTGTATTTTATGGGCTTAAAGGGCAGCAGTAACTTGTTACTGATTGTGGGCATCATCAGTTGTGTTGTATTTATGAGTTGGAAGATTTTGCAAGAACTTTCTTTTGACTAAAACCGAGCAGCACTTGACGGTCCCAATCATCCCATACTATCTCAATCTTACAGGATGTTAAGTGCACAGTCCCCACATTATAGCACCTGCTGTTAAGGGTATGATTACAGTACTGGTTTAGTGTAGAGGTCATGTATTACAGATCAGGTGTTGAGGTCTGATCTGACTCTGTAGTGCGATGTCTCTTTGAAAGGCTGCCTCACCGTCTTGGGAGAGTGACTGTCAACACGGCCCTAAGTGATTCCAATCTTGCAAAGTTAGACCGAGGAGAGTTGCAAGAAAAGGAATGCTCGAGTACTTTTGTGATATTTGTTCAGACTTGTGAAACTTTGTGGGACTGGGGTGGGGGAGGAAGTGGTAAATTTGAAAAGTAATGCAAACCAAGTTGGCAAAAGCCATTGAAGAATTAGGGAACAGAAAGGTGTCTTAAAAGAAACTTGTCCTCCAACTTCAAATTTAGATATTCGCTTTGCAAACTTAACTTTCCAAGTAATAACCATCCAGCTTTGGCAAACTCGACCATTCAACTCTTTGGGAGAGTATTTTTGTAGCTTGCCCTGTACTTGCTATACCTGCTGTTACCCTGTTTAAATCAAGCTAGAAGTTGCCCTGTAAATGGCTTACCACAGGTCTCAGGCAGAGATCTTGACCATAAACTATTGATTGCATTGCTTCTAGCGTCACTGTGTTGCTTATCTTCATATACGAAAGGAAGCATGTTAGAAAGGAAAACACCTTTAAACCCAGCTGAATAATCTAACTTCCTCTTTAATAATCTATTTTGTTTTTTCTTCTATTTGTGGGCTTATTATGTACAGTATTAAGGAAATGGACAACATACTATTGGCAGTAACAATTCATTATTGTTGAAGTCTACAATTGTAATGTCACTGTTTGACTTTATTTGCCCAGCCTTTTGTTTTAACTACGTGCTGTAAGTAAATTAATTTTAAGGTCATGAAGTAATAATGCTGATTTTATCTTTTTTTAAACTTGCAAAGTTTATTTTCCTTTGGTTGAAGATTGTCATTGGACGGAGTTTTTCTGGGTTCTGGAATTCTTCCAGTAAATTCACAGGACATGTAGTGTTTCTAGTGAGCATTTAGTGTGGAGACAAAAGAATTGTAGGCTGGACCAATCTGTGACCAAAAGGCCTTTGTTATTCAGGTTTATGGGAGGAAGCCCAATTAATTATAGACTGGTAAGCACGGAGGGGATTCTGCATCCCCTAGAGGCGATTGTGTGTATTATAAATGTGTTGGATTGCTGTGGCTATGTATGCTTTTCATGCATGTTATACCCTGGAGCTATGGATAGTGATGGTACAGGCTCCATTACCTTTCCATCGCACAGGTGACCAGGAATCTGTCCTTTTTTTTTGCTGCTTGCCATTGGCATGTTTTGGAAGGATTCATAAGTTGGGAAATCAATCTATTTGACCATGTTGTTAATGCACTTGCCTTTGGCATCAGCTCCTGGAGCGGAACTTGAAGTTGGAGCTTCTGGGTGAGGCGGGGACGCTACCCGTTGTGTCACAAGCCTCCCAAAGGAGATCCTAGTGAACAATAAGTCACAGACATCTTGCTGATATCTGTGGTCTTTAAGAAGATTCTTTGAGTCATTGTAGCATGTGTTTAAGGCCATGCAATGTAATTAAAAAATAATAAGCTGACATTTGTTCTGAGGGATGCAGGTGAAAGCTCTGGCCTAGCAGAACATCTTGAGGCTTCAGCAATTGGGCTTACATTGCTCTTTGTGGTTTTAGGAGCGTGGGAGCAAAGGAACAGGAGTAAACCATTCTGTCCATCAAGCCTCCCCCGCTATTCGATATGATCGTGGCTGATCAAACACCCCAGTGTCTTTGTTCGCCTCATACACAAACCTTGTATGCCACTCATTATCAGAAATCTATCAATCTCTGCTTTAAACACATTCTGATTGATAGAGCTGCCACAGTTCTCTGTGAGAAAAATTCCAAGGGTTTATGACCATCTTTGTGGCCAAATTCTATCTCCACTCCATTTACAAGTTTGCTGACAACGTTACAGTTGTAGGTTGAATCTCAAACAACGACAAGACATAGTACAGGAAAGAGATGGAGTGTTTAGCAGCATGGTATGAGGACAACAATCTCTTCATCAATGTCAGCAAAAGAAAGAGCTAGTCATTGACTTCAGGAAGCAGATTGGAGGGCATGCTCTTGTCTACATCAGTGGTGCTGAGATGAGGTGGTTGAGCGGGTCAAGTTCCTGGGAGTGGTGGTCACTAACAGTCTGTCCTGGTCCGAGCATGTCGATGCAACAGTCAAGAAAGCACAACGTTTCTACTTCCTCAGGAGGCTAAGGAAATTCGGCATGTCCACAAATTCTCTTGCCAATTCTTGTAAATCTGATTTGATTTATTACTGTCACGTGTACCACAGTACAGTGAAGTGCATTGTCTTATGTGCTTTACTCAATTTTATTCAAAGGCAACATCATCAAAGACCCCTCCCACCCCACTTCTACTCTCATACCCTCTTCAGTCAGGCAGAAGATATAAAAGTTTGAATACACGTACGAAGAGATTAAAGAACAGCTTCTTCGTCACTGTTATCAGATCTTTGAATAGACTGTCAAATGTTAATGTTGATTTCTCTCTGCATCTTCTCTCTGGCTGCAACACTGTATTCTGCACTCTGTTCTGCTACCCAGATGCACTTTGTATGGTACAATCTGCCTGTATAGCACACAAAACAGCACTTTTCACTATCTCGGTAAATGTGATGACAATAAATCAAATCAAATCAAATCAAATCAAATCAAATCAAATAAAACCGTCTGAGTTTTTTAAAAAATACTGTTCATCTTGGACCTGTGTGGAATCCCTTTCACTTTTAGATCGCATTTTCTAAACTTTCCAACCAGGGAAAACATCTTGTGTGTATTTGCCCTGCCCATCCCTTTAAGTATTTTTTAGATTCCAATGAGATCACCTCTCATTCTTCAAAACTCTAGAAAATACAGACCAAGTTTGCACAGTCTCTCTTCATACGTCAGTCCCACCATCCCAGGAACCAGTCTGATGAGTCTTCATTGAGCTCCCTCAGTGGCAATAATATCTTTCCTGAGATGAGACCAAAACTGCATACAGCACACCAGGTGAGGTCTAACCAAGCTATGCAATTGAAGCAAAACTTCACAATTCCTGTACTCGAGTCCTCTTGCAATAAAGGCTAACTTTACATTAGCCTTCCAAATAGCTTACTGCATTTATATGTTAGTCTTAAGTGACTTATCAACAAGGACAGTCAGGTCCTTTTATACATCTATTCTATCCAACCTCTTGTCATTTAAGAAATATTTGCACATCTGTTTCTATGGATAACCGTATGTTTTTCCACATTAAATTCCACCTGCCATGCTTTTGCCCATTTGCTAAGCCTATCTAAATCTTCCTGAAGTCACTTTATATCTTGCTCACAACTCATGTCCACTGAGGTTTGTATCATCGCAAATTTGAAAATACTACATTTGGTTCCCATCTCTAAATGGTTGATACAATTTTTGAGCAGCTGGGTGTATTGATCCTTGCAGCATCTACTGGT